GCAAGTATGTAGGAAACAAATGTACAACAAATTTCATATCATTGTTTTAAAGTGTCATTAAAGTATATAAGCACATAAGATACTGGGCAGAGAACAGAGAATAAGTGCAGTTACTATATAGCTATATATTTATTTTAGATATTAATATTTATTAATATTAAGTTACTTTGATATAGTTTAAGTTGTGGTACAGGCAATAGTCACCTGAGAAATAATGATCTGAAAATCACCCTGGTTCTGGCTGGGTGGATCCGTTGGTTGGAGTGTCATCCTGTGCAACAAAAGGTCAAGTCCGGTCATGGCACATACTTAAGTTTTGGATTCAATCCCCAGTAGGCAACCAATTGATGCTTCTCCCACTCGCTCTCGCTCTCGCTCTCACTCTAAAATAAATAAATATGTCCTCAGGTGAGAATTAAAAAAAAGTTTTTAAAAACCATCCTGAAGCCCAGCCAGTGTGGCTCAGTGAATTGAGCATTGTCAAATGGCTCAAGAGATCCTGGGTTCCATTCCCAGTCAGGGCACATGTCCGGGTTGTGAGTTCAATCCCAAGTAGGGGGCATGCCAAAGGCAGCTGATCGATGTGTTTCTCTCATTGATGTTTCTCTCTCTCTCTCTCTCTCTCTCTCTCTCTCTCTCTCTCTCTCTCTCTCTCTTCCTTTCTACGTAAAAATCAATAAAAACATTTAAAATCATCCTGAATACTGTTATTTTCATAGAAAATAATCACAACAGCAACCAGTAATCTAATTTAATTAATGGCCCAGAATAAGCTGGTTAATTGTAGCTGTTTATAATAATTTCTAGATTGTACTGCAATGGTTAAATTTGATGGTCTTTGTAATTTTTTAAATCAGTTATTTTAAAAGATCTCTTTTTTAAAATGGTTATAGCAAAAGGGAATGAAGGCAGATATTTTCTGAACTCAGGAAGAGTTTGGGTGATAGATTAAGGTGGCACATTAGTGAAAGAGATGACTTGGCACATCCATGATTGTCAGAAATTTCTTTCCTGGCTCTCTCTTTTTCCAGATGTACAGGGAACCAAGACATAGAGTGTCATTAGCAAGGAACTACATAGAAAGGAATAATTTAAATTGCCCACATCCATAAATGCAAATCAAACAAAGGAAAAATAATGCCTAACGATTCATATTATTTTTCAGCATTTTCCTGGAGTACATTTGCTCAGAATTAAAATCTCTGTTAGGTCAACCACCACAGGGATAATAATAGGTGGAACACTTGATGTAATTTATTGAACATTTCTTTAATTGCTATTATGTTTGTATATTGACTTTATTGGCTTCACTTTTTTTATTTTTTTTTTTTGCATAAAAGACCAAATAATTGGGTCTGGAAAAACCCCCCACATATTTGTAGTGAATAAAAAGCCATTAACCACAATTAAGGGATTTTTTCTTTTTTGCTACCACCTGGTTCATGTTAGGATCCACTAAACCTTTCTGTGGTCTTACACTGTCAGACGTTGGCATCACCTTTCATTCTATTATGCTTTCCATCCTCAGTTCTAAATACATGAAAACAATGTGCTCATTGTTTAGAAGCATCTCTTCTATTTGTTCTTCCTCCTCATTTCCAGTGCAGAGCAGGCCTTTGTTATCTCATCTTTGGATTTGTTCTTATATATGCCTATTTGAATACATCCTTCTTATCAAACTTCCCTTAAATGCCATCTTCCTCAGCTTACTTCTGGGCTCCAGAACTAGACATAGGTTCTTGTAGCTACTTGTGACCTACAATATGAATCTAAACTTCAAATTTCCTTTCAGATTAACTTGATGTCCTTATTGGTCCCCAACACATTCTGTTGTCGTCTTCTTCTTTCTTCTTTCTTCTTCCTTCTTTCTTCTTTCTTCTTTCTTCGTCCTTCTTCCTCCCTCCTCCTCCCCCACCCCCTCCCCTTCCCCTTCCTCCTCTTCCTCCTCCTCCTCCTCCTCCTCCTCCTCTTTCCTCCTCCTCCTCCTCCTCCTCCTCCTCCTCCTCCTGCTCCTCCTCCTCCTCCTCCTTCTTCTTCTTCTTCTTCTTCTCCTCCTCCTCCTCCTCCTTCTCCTTCTCCTCCTCCCCCTCCCCCCCCCTCCCCCTCCCCCTCCCCCTCCCCTTCCTCCTCCTCCTCCTCCTCCTCCTCCTCCTCCTCCTCCTCCTCCTCCTCCTCCTCCTCCTCCTCCTCCTCCTCCTCCTCCTTCTTCTTCTTCTTCTTCTTCTTCTTCTTCTTCTTCTTCTTCTTCTTCTTCTTCTTTGTCTTGTTTCTCCAAGTATTATCTTTTTTTTCTGTTCAGCCTAAGTATTCTCTACTAACCCTTCAAGGTCAAGTTCAAGGCTTGCCTCCTCTGAAGAACTTCCTTTGATAGTCCCATCTTTCAATATCTCAAACTACACAATTTAACACAACATAATAAGCAATACCAATACTGAATATAAGTAAGTGTCATTGTGTTATATGCATGGGTCTCATTTCCACTGGACTGCAAATATCTTGCAGATAAATTCCCTAAGATATAACTGATTTTCCAATTGTTTCCTCTTAGAATCTACTAATCAATAAATGTATTTAGATTGATTAATTATTATCTATATCTTAACATTTTACTTTACAATTTATGTATATTTCATTTTTGTCTTATACTTAGAATTTTTAAGAACCAGAATGGACCACTGGTAGAGTATATTATTGTTCATAGTTATTTATTCCCATCTTCCCTTTCTGTGGGGTACATGTGTCCATCCCAGTGATTTTTGGCCTTGGGCTTGAGACTTTTCAGTTAGTGGTCTGTTGGTAGATGTGACATATGCCACATCCACGCAAGAAGCACAAGGGGCACTGCAGGTTTCTATCAGCCTCCTTTCAATTGCTCTTGCAATGAAGCAGCGTGCCCCAGATAGGGCTGCTTCTCCAGCCTGGGCCCTGGAATAAGAAGCTGCAGAGAGCAGACCCACAACGTACAGCACAACTTACAAGTTACAGCCCTTATGTTTCATAGCTGAGAAATAACATCTTTCAGTTCACTGATATGTGGGGTGGTTTACTACACAGAAAAGCTGATTAACACAGGACCTTAAAGTTCATCTAACTTCCTATTTTTCCAAAAAGGAGGCCTAGATTTTTAGTTAGCAAGTGGAAGAGATATAACATAATTCAGACTTATTTTTTATAACACAAAACACCTAGCTTTTCGTTATCCTAAAATTTGGAGGAATATAACTCAAATAGTTTGAAATTTGAGGCATTAATACTACCTGGAACTGCCCTCTTGGTCTGGCATTTGCTTTTAGAAAATATGTAGAAGGATACTATAATATAAACAAGGTGCACTATCAGTGTCAATGGACTATACCTCTACCTGAAAGATATTACTATTCTCTCTTAGGTCCAAGCTTGTTTGTAGCTGAGAGAATGGAATGCAGTGATCTTTCAGGCCCAAGTCTCTCATATATATACTGTTAATATTACATATACATTCAAAATCTTCTTTACTAAACAACATATAATAGAAAATTCTGATTTAAGGATGGGTATAATTTTTTTTAAGGGAGCACTCTTTATAAAGCTCCAGAAGAATGTAGCTTCCCAAAATAAAAGAATGCCCTTATTTGATGATATATAAACAACTCACTTAAAATTTTGCAATGCATTATAATTCATTTTTAATTTTTGCACATTTACCTTCCACAATAGTTTTCTTTTAATTTATTGTCTAAAGTTTTACATATGTCTCCCTTTTTCCTGATTGACCCTCCCCCCAAGCCATTCCCACTCCGGGCAAGCCCCCCCTCCCCAGTGTCTGTGTCCATTGTTATGCTAATATGCATGCTTACAAGTCATTTGGTTGCTCTCTAACCTCCCCATCTCCTCTGCCATTTGTCTCTGGATTTATTTTTGCTCATCAAATTATGTTGATCATTATATCCCACATATGAGTGAGATCATGTGATATTTATCTTTCTCCAACTGGCTTATTTCACTTAGCATAATGCTCTCCAGGTCCAAGGGATGGGTGTAATTTTTTATTAACCTGTTTCCTTAATTGCATGAAGAAGCCTCATACTTTTTGACATAAAGTGATGGACTGTAATATTATTTTATAAATTCAGATGGAAATATCCCTGTCATTATGTGCTTTAGTATATCAGAACTTTAACTTGGTCCTGAAATTTATGTTATTATATGGTGTTCTTAGAAATAAATCAATTTTGCTAACTATGACAGTCTGTAAAAATTCACACACACTAAATTGCTCAATAAAATTCTAAAAAAATATTAAAATGGTACTTTCTTTTATATAACAACTAGAGTCCTGGTGCACAAATTCATGCATGGGTAGGGTTCCTTGGCTAGGCCGGCGATCAGGGCCCATAAGGCCATCTTGCCCAGTCCTGATGGGGGCTGGATGGCTGCGGGGAGGGACCACGGTTGGTTGTCCGGCTGCAGGAGGTTGGCTGTGGGTGTGCACTGACCACTAGGGGGCAGCTCCTGTATTGATCATCTTCCCCCTGCTGCTGCCCCCTGGTGGTCAGTGTGCATTATAGCTATTGGCCGGTCATCTGGTTGTAATGGTCGCTTAGACCAGGGGTCCTTAAACTACAGCCTGCCAGGTGTTTTTGCCACCACTGTGTGCATAGAAATTTGTTCATAGTTTTTTCTTAAACTATAGTCCAGCCCTCTAATGGCCTGAGGGACAGTGAACTGGCCCCCTGTTTAAAAAGTTTGAGGACCCCTGGCTTAGACATATATATATATTTATTTATTTTTTGAGATTAAAACCAGTTATGTGCAGTGATATTTTCCCCTTTTTATGAGAAAAACAATACTTTAGTACATGTTTTAGGAAATGAAATGTCATATAACTACCTTTTTTGTTGCTATTTATTATGCTTTTTCAAATAAAGGAAACAAAATACAATAAACTAAACAGGATAACCAAGTGAACTTTCTTTTTCTATATTTCCTCTCTTTTTATTTAGAACACACACAAACCTTACCTTTGTGAGAAAACATCCCGGTAAGGACTGCCATGCTGCAATGCAATTCCATATCCCCGATCAGCAACAGTGTTCCCAATGGTATAAAAGGAGCAATCTGGGTCATTGATAGCCACATACTCCAATACAGCTGCATCCCACACAAAAGCATAGTTTCCATATTTTACCTGTAAAAACATGGAGAACAAAAGAAGAAAACAGGATTTAAGGTAGGAATACTAAGTTATAAAGACAGGACAAAAAATTGCATTAGTATTTGTTTAATTGTGCAAAAAATAATAGGTCCCATATTTCTAAGCACCTATGCGGAATGAGAATTTGGCTTTTGGTTAATTTATAGCTCTGTTCTCCTGGAAGCTTGATACAATTAGAATATTAATTATGTTTCCCAGGTAACACAGCTTCTAGTAAAATGACCCCTGTGTAGTAAATGTCACCTGGCCAGGGAGAACAATAAACACATGAAAGAAAGCCATGTCTTTGAGCTGCTTGGAATGCAGCAATTCTTGTAATTGGGCCTGTTTCTCTGGTGACCCTGGAAGTTATGCTTTTAGAGCTGTTACAAGAGATCTTGGCTTCTTTGGGTTATTAGGTTTCTAAGCCAAGTAGGTTTTGCTCACACCAAATATGGGAATCATCTCCTTGCAAGTGACCGATATTCTAAATGAATGCTGCATGTACAACTTACATTCAAGAGAAATAATCAACACTGCCCTGCTGGCAAGATATATTTCTTTTCCTATGTCCTAAATTAATCCTTTGCAGAGAATGGTTTATAACAGTCTTGCAGCTGGATTTAGAAGAAAGCCCCTAGGTGGGCATTGCAATGAGAAAAAAATAATTATACAACCTTCTCTATCATCATTTAGGAAGCACAACTTTATTCTGGTTTGTTTATAATATCTTTTAGTGCTGATATATTTTTCTCTCAGTAATCACTCATTGCCTGGGTTGTAAATTTATAAAATGTAAAAAAATCTCTCTCTTTTGAAAAAAAACAAAACTATCTTTATTGTTGGAAGTATTGCAGATGTCTCCCTTCCCCCCCCCGTTGATCCCCTCCACCCTATACCACCACCACCACCCTCCTGCCACCCACAGACCTTCACCACACTATTGTCTATGTCCATGCATATAAATTCTTTAATCTCTCCCTGTCCCCTCTCCTTCCCTAATCGTAAAGTTTATTTAGAAAATTATTATATATAAATATAAAAATTAATAAACTCATTAAATAAACAGAATAATTATATAAATAAATCCATTTGTTTCTTGAAAGGGAAGTAATTTCCTGGCATATCTGATTAGGAAAAAATCAAAATAAATATAAATACAGATAGTTGAAGTGATGTCAGCAAGACAGGGGATTAGGAGATCCCCAGATTTAGTCCCGCACAGAAACAACGATATGACAGCAATCCATGAATACAAGTGCCCTTATGAGCCTTGGGGTCCAAGTTGTGAAACCCTGGTGGAGTCCAAGACTGAGGAAGAATACTTTGAGAAGGCAGGCCCCTTGTTGGCTGACAACTGTGGTCCTGGAGTCCCATAAGCAGCCCTGTCCCACTGTGGACTTGGCTCCAGATCTGTAAAGGTACAAGGCAAGGATGCCCCTGCCACTACTGCTATTCAAAATAGTCATGCAAGTGCTAGCCAGGACAATTGGGTAAGAAAGAGGAGGGTCCAAATAAGAAAGGAGAAAGTAGAATTATCTCTATTTGCAGGTGACATGATCATACATGTAGAAAATGCTAAGGAATAAACGAAAAAAGTTAAAACGAATAAATCCAGTAAAGTTGCAACATACAAAAATCAATAGCATTTCTATATGTAAACAATGAACTATACAAAAAGGAAATTTGAAAAAAATCCCATTTATGAGAGCATTAAAAAGAATAAAGCATTTAGGAAGACACCTAAGCAAGAGGCCGAAAATTACAAAACAGTGATGAAGGAAACTAAAGAAGACATGTAAATGGAAAGACATTTTGTATTCATAGCTTGAAACAATTAATACTGCTAAAATGTTCACCCAGTGCATAGTGATCTACAAATTCAATGCCATCCCTATCAGAATTCAATGGCATTTCTTAAAGAAGTAGAAAAAGAAAATTCTAAAATTCATGTATAACCACAAAAGGTCCAAAATAGCCAAAGCAATCTGAACAAGAAGAACAAAGCTGGAGGCATAATGATACCTGATTTCAAAATATGTTACAAAACTACAGAAATCAAGACACTATACTAGTAGTATTGGCATAAAACAGACATAGAGATTAACGGACCAAAATAGAGACCCCAGAAATAGATTAAGGCTTTAATGTTCAACTGATCTTCTACAAATTTGCCAAGGACATACAATGGGAAAAGAAATGCTTCTTCAATAAATGGTGTTGGGAAAACTGGATATCCCACATGCAGAAGAATTAAATTGAACCCATATTTCACATCATGTACAGAAATCAACTCAAAAGTGATTAAAAACTTAAATGGAAGACTTGAAACCATAAAACCCCTAGAAGAATACATAGGAAACATAGGAAAATTGTCTTGACATTGGTCTGAACAATGATTTTTGAATATGACGCAACCAAAATCACAGGCAACAAAAGCAAAAATAAGCCAATGAGATTACATCAAGTTAAAAACCTTCTGCACAGCAAATGAAATACTAAACAGAGTAAAAAAGCAAGCTATGGAATGGGGGAAAATTGCAAACCCTAAATCTGAAAAGGATTTAATATCCAAAATATATAAGGAACACCTAAAACTAAATTGCAAAAAAACTAAATAACTGTATTTAAAAAGGAAAAAAATACATTAGTTAAAGAAGACATACAAAAGGTCATAGATATACAAAAAGATACTCAACATCAGGGAAATAAATGCCAATGAAATTACAATGAGATATCATTTTACATCTGTCAGAGTGGCTATTATTAAAAAACATCAGTATTGGTGAAAATGTGGAGAAAAGGGAACCTTTGCACATTATTGGAGGGAATGCAAATTGTGCGACTGTTATGGAGATTACTCAACAAATTAAAAATAGAACTACCAAACGATCAAACAATCCCAGTGCTGGGAATATATCCAAAGGAAATGAATTCAGTATCTCAAAGAGATATCTGCACTCCCATATTCATCACAAAACTATTCCCAAGAGCCAAGGTATGAAAACAACCTAAATGTCTACTAATGGCTGGATGGATAAAGGAAATATATAATAGAATATATACTGAGTGGTCAGATTATTATGACAGTCCAGATTATTATGACCACCCCATCAGTACAATATAGTGAATTAGTTATGCAAATAATAACAATAATAAAACCTTGAGAGTATTTGCTTAGGAAGTTTTCAATATTCAGTATTTTTGGAAGTGTCAATGAAGTACTGATGGGGTGGTCATAATAATCCGGCCACTCAAGTGTATTCATCTTTCTTTCTTTTTTTTTTTTGAAACTATATTCTGGTTTTATTTTATTTTATTTTAAATTTCCTTATTGGTTAAGGTATTACAAATCTGTCCTCATCCCCCAATTAACCCCTAACCTCCCCCACCCCCAACTCATGCTCTCAACCCCCTGTTGTCCATGTCCATTGGTTTGGCTTATGTGCATGCATACAAGTCCTTTGGTTGATCTCTTCCCCTTACCCCCACCCTCCCCTACTTTCCCTCTGGGGATTAATAGTATGATTTCTGTTTCTCTGTCTTTAGGGGGGTGGGGGGAAATGGAGAGATATTAGTCAAAAGATTCAAAGTTTCAGTTAGGCAAGATGAATAAATTTTGTAGATTCAATGTAGAGTATAGTGAGTATAGTTAACAATACTGAATTGTATACTTGAAATTTGCCAAGAGGGTAGATATTAAGTGGTATAATGACAAAAAAAGGTAATTGTGTGAGGTGATAAGTAGTTTCATTGTGGTGATAATTTCATAATATATATGTATATCAAAACATCAAGTTGTACACCTAAATATACTAGTATATTCAAGTTTTTTGGCAATTTACACCTCAATAAAGCGAAAAGTTACAGATAGAGAGTGAAAAGTAAAATAGCATGGAAATTGTCAGCAAATAGAGAATCTGTGGAGTAGACCAAAAAATCTACAAACCTGTTAAGGTATATAATTGTTGTATATAGACTGTATGCATGATTACTACATATATAATTACAAAGACCGCAATTCAAATCAGTATGGCAAATGTAAAATATTTTAAAAATTAGAGTGAGACAGGTGATTATTTTAAAAGAACCAATATTAAAGCACTGCAGTGCATCATATGCAAAATAAATTCCTTTAGTGTAATAAATTTATTATAATAAAAAATAATCCAGGTTTGAAAAAATCCACAAAACTAGAAAAACATGTAAAACTGTATTTTTCTGATACTGGGAAAAAAGCAGAATATATCTAAACATACAAGTAAAGGAATAAAATGTAAATAAATATTTGATATGTTTACTGCCTTTTAAATATTTTTTCTTAGACCAGGCCAACATTAGATACTCAATAAAAAGTTTTGCAGGAAATATGTTCTAAATCTTTTTGATCAGTTGACTGCTCAGTGGATACTTAACATATCTCTTCTTGGGGGCTAGCCCTAACCAAACCAAGAAATATTGACACAGATAAAATAATTTTCCCTGAAGAAATCATTCTATGCAACAACTCACACAGAGCTAACTGCACACTAGAGACTATGTTAGGTACTAGGGTTCAGTGCTTCTCAAAATGTGATGTTAAATTTAATACCATTAGAGTTACCAGGGGAGTCTTATGTTATAAATGTAAATTCCAGATATTACCCCAACTTATTACATTGGAATGGTTGACGTTCAAGTCCTGGGAATAAGCTTCTTGACAATTTTGAAAGTTGAAAACCTTGATAGCTGATGTACACCGATTTGTGAATAAAAATGCATTTTAATAAAAATGAGTAATACAATTAGGAATAATTTGATATACACGAGTTTTGTTATAATTATAAAAACTAGCAGGTTTTTGGAGTATTGGTGTGAGATAGGGAAAAATATTTGCAGGTTTCTTCTACATTGATTGATTACTTATATCCACAGGATTATCTCTCAATCCTTTCATCCTTTTTTGATCTTTTGCACTAATCATTGTAGGAGAGAAAAAAAGAATTTCCCTCTAA